CACCGCCCTCCTGGCCTCCGCCACCCGCCCGCTGGGGTGCTTCGGCTGGTGGGTGCGCTGCTGCCGGAGCACCTTCTGGGGCTCTCGCTTACCTGCCCGCCCAGTGTGACAAAGGAAGCGCGCGGGGTTTCCGAGCAATGTTAATCTTCCCATAAGGCAAGGGGAGCGACAGTCTAGTGAAAGACGAGAAACTTTCTTAACTGACAGCCCTTGCTCCAGCTCCCCCATGGTGACCGTTTGCTTCCCGTCTGCGCTGGAGAAGGCTGCGTCTCTCCCCGGTCTCATGAATCTTCTGAAGGGCTTGTTCTGTGTGAGCTGAGACCCCGCGCTCCCTGCTGCTGCCTGCTGGGAGGTGTCCCGGTGCAGCTCAGTGATTATCTTACCCAGGACTGGGTAGCAGCATGGCCCGGGAACACCTCTGGCAAACTATTTCTGCTGGAGAAGAGCAGTTGCTCTGAGCAATGCTGCACTTCTTCTAGAGACCCTGCTGTTAGCCACAGTTCAGTGTCTCAGCACAAGGACCACGTGTGCTTGTGTGTAGATGGCTTCCCAAGTGGTCCTGCGGGACCGTGAAAAGAGAACGCTGTCGCCCTGCTGCTAGCGGCTCTTGAAAAAGGGAATGGAGAGCCTGCAAAGGTTGGAGTGCTTCCACGTGCAAATGTTCACCCTGCTACCTGCCAGAGAAACGGTTCTGCCTCCCAGAAATGTAGTCAGTGCAGTCCATGCAAAATCAGGCTTTCCTTCACATTAAACAGGTGTCTGGAAACTGGAGGAGTATTAAGTTCAGAGAATCCAGGTAACTTGACTCTCCTGTCCTGAGGTGCTGCTGCAGAGTACTGCTTAGAAGCGTCCTCTACTTCTGCTGTAACTTTTCATTTCTCGTCTTTCAGGTATTTAATATTAGCTGAACTCTACTGAGATGTAACTAGAGATGTAACCTTAACATTGTTCATACATATCGTTTGTTGGTAAATAATCCCACCTCTCCTTTTTCTTAAACAGCACTTTACTAGTGCTGGCACTCTGTCAGGTCACGTATCCGTGGTGGGTAACCTGCACCGTGCCGGCAGTGCTCAGCTGTCTGGAGGGGGTGTGCGCAGCTACCTTCAGGAGGATTCCTCCATGCCGCAGCAGGGTGGACTAGCGGTGCCCCATGACGGTGCAGTGCGACAGCCTAGCTCAGGTTTGTAGTATCATGTCCCCTGGAGTGGGAGGACCCCTGGGCAACCACGGCGTGCGGATCCCTTGCAGATACCCGTCTGTGCGTGTGGCTGCCTTACTGCTGCCTGCTCTTCTCAGAAACCAAATTCCTCTGCGGGCAGCCTTGTCAGCACTGCTTCTCCAGGGGGATACGGGCTTGTGAGTTGAATGTTGCAGGAGGTGGGGGCATGCAGTGATGTGTCTGTTGTGGGGTGGGCCTCTGTCTGTAGGTGCTTGTGGGCTCACAGTAAAGCCTGGCTCGTGGCTCGGTGAGTAGGTCTTGTGCCAGAACTGATTTCTTGGGTGTAAGCAAGCAGCGTGGTCTGGAGGGCTCGGGGGAGATCCCACTGGGATCTACTCAGTGCGACAGCTTCTTCCCTCAGCAGTACACTTCAGATCTATCCACTTATCTGTTTTTAGGTAGAGTTCCTAGTACAGAGCAGAGGCTGTTGCCTGCTTCTCAAGCATACAGCCTTGCCCTTAATACTGCGCCAGTTTCTGGTACGCCAGCAGGTGACAGTGCCTCTTTATTCTTGCTGTAGCCTACGCCATTCCTCCTCTTTATCAGCAGGAAACATCACCTTAACTTGGACCTTTGGTGCTGCTAAAATGTTGAAGGTGGTTGATCCTGATGCTCAGGTAGCTCCAGCAGTAACTCATCTCCATCCTGAGACCTCTCCTTTCCCAGTTCTCTTGATGTCCCCAGAACACTCTCCTGGTTCTTACGGTGTTGTCCTAGAGCAGGCCCAGAGACAAGGCTTGATAAAGTACTCAAAGGGCAGCTTGAGCTGCCGAGGCAGGATTGATTAAAAACCCCGAACGTTACTTTTCCTTTGTGAGAATATGATTCAGGCTCTGCTTTTGGAGCTGTCCTTGTCCTCCCCTCCCAGCAGAGCTGGGATCAGTTGGGTCCTCTGTTAGAGTGAAGCCCAGGAATCAGAACTGGATCCCAACCCTTGGGGAAGGTCACGGGCCAGCTCTCGTCTCTCCCTAAGTAAATTCAGGAACTTTTAAAATCTCCTGGAGACTGAAGCAGCCGGCTGCAGCCTGCCAGGGCAGCATGCGGAGGGTGAGGGCAGAGGGGCTTTGGGATGCACCGCGGTGGGGTGCATGGGAGCAGCTTAGGACCCTCCCTGCTGTGCAGGGCAGGGCAGACCTGGGCTGTCCCAGTCATGGGGCAGTCATGACGTGGCGTCACTGGTCCCACAGTGCCTGTACAGCTGTGTCCCAGATGTGGAGCTGGGAGCGCAGCGTGCCGACAGCGAGCAGCAGATGGAGCTGGTGCTCTGCGGTGTGGTGCCTGCGTGGCTTTTTGGCGTGGGGTGGAGAGCAGCAGGGACGAAGGAAGCTGTCTGGGAAGCACCCGTGAGCAGTGGTGCCGGAGGAAGGACTTGCCGCACACCAGCACCCAGCCAAGGCCTGGCTTTCCTGCCCACGCCTTGTCCTCCGAGCCCCAGCTTGTGAAGGTTTTGCTGTGCTTTTACCAGGGCTTTTATGCTCGCAGTTGCAGAGAGCTTGTCCTGTCCCATGGGTTGCAGGGTGATCTCCACAGCCTCTCCCACTTCCCAGCAAGCGGGAAGTGCCCAGGAGCGAGCCCGGGCATGTCTCAGCAGCTGATACTGTGCTTACAAAGAGCCCCGACTCGTCCTGTTTCCTGCAACTCTGGGCTGTGCGCTCTGACTCCTTGTGCTGATTCGTATCGCTTATTTATTCCGTTCCCCTCCGAGAATAAAATTAACTGCGCGCTCTGCTCGTTGCTCTTCCTGGTTGCTTGTTTAGATCGGCCCTGTGGAGGATGCTGCCAAACACTGACTCCTCTGCGGGTCTGGTGCTGTGTGAAGACATTCTGGGGTGAATGTAACTGAGCTGCTGTGACCTCGCACTTACAAGAGAGCTGCAAAGATAGCCGGCATGAGAAGGAGAGAAAGTTAAAGAGAAACAAAATGTGGGTTGGTTTTTTTCTAGTAGATCAATTGAAAGGGTCTTTTCTCGGTGCAGGATGTGTGTTTACAAAACTGTGCTCACACAGGAAACCCCTAGAACTTAGTTTTCTTAATGTTCTCAGCAAACGTGGTTGGATTTAGCTATGGGGATTTACTGAAAGCTGTTACACAAATAAATAACAAAGTATAAAATTAGCAGCGGATCAACAAGCTGTGCTAAAGTCAGCAGTGGGGAAGGGAGAAGCCCTCGCGGTCCTGGAGAGGCTGGCCGGCCTGTGGCTGCGGAAGGAAGATTCAGCTGCTCAGGAGTTTGCTTTGCAGAAGTGCCTAACCAAAGGGTGGGCAAAAGACACAAATTTTCCTGTTTTCTTTGGCAGGGGAGAGAAGGAGGATGATGCTGTGTCTGGAGTTTCAGGAGTATTTTTCCCATGATTTTTGTCCACTGGTGCTTGGCACTCTGCTCATTTCAGAGGTGACTGGAATTGGTTTGACTTTTTTTTTCCCCCCCTGCTCAGCTGTTTCCTATGTGCTGTGCAGACCTCAGGCTGCCTTTGCTGGATGCAGAAGGGCGGTTACAGGTCTGTATTTCTGCTCCGTGCTTCTCCAGTCCGTCTAGACCCTGAAGCTGCCCCTACCAAGCTGGGCTGGGAACAGAGCGTGGTGCATCCCAGTGGTGGTGGTGCTAGTGGTGCTCAGCTCCGTGCACAGGTGGTCAGTGGCTTTGTACTTGGAGAGTAGTGGTGTTTTGCTGTTTGGTCCCCCGGGATTGCTGCTGTCAGCAGCGCTTGGTGCTGCCAGTCTGCTCCCTGCAGCTGTGCTGCTCTCCCGCCTGTTCCTGCAGCGTGGCTGGTGCTAACCATGATGGCAAAGCCGGCTGCGCAGCTTGGCAGGGCTGGGGCGAGATGCTGCCATAATGTTCCTGGTAACAGAGTTTTCTCCCCTGCGGTGTCTCAGGGAAGGATTATGTATGCTGTACTATCCAAAGCCAGGTATGGCTGCTTGATGAGCTCTCCCAATGCACTTTCTTGGTACATGTCGTTCTGCATCTTTCCTGCAGTCCTTCTGCAGGCGCTTGGCCCCGAGACCAGCAACCAAGACGCCAGCAGTGTGGCCGCCCCACCGAGGGACACGCTGGCCGCAGAGCCTGTGCGAGGGCTCTCGTACAGCGCCCGGCTGACGGCAAGGGCCAGCATTGAGTCATTGGCCAAGAGCAGGTGTTTGGGGTGCTTTCCCCAGGAGGGGGGCCATGGGGACTCCGCTGTGACTGTCCTCCAGCGGTACCCCACGGTGGGCTTGGCTGCTGTGTCCGGGGTCAGGATGGGCCCATGACCTTGCCTTGTTCGGCATACTGTGGGTCCCACGAGCAGCTCCCTGCCTCCGGCGAGCTCTGCTCTGACACGAGAGCACTTTGATCTGGGTAACGTTTTCTGCAAGAAAGTGTGGGAGGAAGAAGCTTCAGACTACTTACTGCCTCTGTCTCTGTGCCAGCCTCGCTGCGTGTCGAAGTGGCCTCTTGTGCATCCCATAGAGAGGATGGTCATTGCGCCAGCTCAGGCTCCAGAGCTGCCTTTTCCTTTGAAGCACTTGACTTGGTTTAGGTTTAAAAAAAGCAAATGCTCTATCTTGTATGTTTAAGTGTATAGTGCAGGGCTCCTTGCTCTTAAGCAGATGAAGTTTTAGTAGGAAAAAGGAGTGAAAGCATAGAACCACTGAATAGTTTAGTTTGGAAGGGACCTGTGGAGATCATGGGGCTGAGTTCCCTGCTGAAGGCTTAAGGAAGTATCTCTGTATCCCTCAAACAAGGGGTGTAGGCTCCCTTTCCCAAAATTCAAGTACTGCTGTGAAGTCGTGTCCTCACTGGCCTTCAGTTCCTGCTGGGCTCTTCCTGCTTTCCCTGGACTGAAGAAGGCGTCGCGACCTCAAGTCTCCACACTCGAGTTCCTGAACTCCCCCCTATCCGCACTGGGGTCGTGTCCCTTGTCTCTCTTAATTACCCTGAAAATCCCTTCTGTTATCTTGCGTGATTCAGTGACCTGCGTCCTTCTGTCTGTGTAACGAGCATCGGGCTGCATGAAAGTTCCTGTTTGTCAGACTTTGACCAAAATTAATTATAAGTTTGTAAAAGTTCAGTAGCTGACAAGGTACATTTGCAGTTGCTCCTGTTTCTGGCCCGTAGCCATGACCTGCGCAGGCGTGCCAGGGCCGGTGCTGGTACATGGGCTCCAGCAGGGCTGAGGAGCGCAGAGCATTGCTGGCTGAGTGCGAGCAGAGCGCCAGCACAAGCGGGCTGAGCTCCATCTAGAGAAGATGCTTGGCTCTGCTGTAACTGCTGATGTTTGGATTTTTGTCGGCGTGCTGTGGCCCGTCCTCCCTTTCCCCCTCCAGCTCTGGCAGGATGTGCTGCAGAGCTTGCCTCCATGCTGGGCTGAGGTTCAGGAAATCCGGGCTGCGTCCCTGGCCCTGTCGTCGCCTGCCTCTGTAGCAGGGAGCAAGTCTTGGTCCTCAGGGTAAGTGACGTGATCTGGCTTGCCTCAAAGCGGCAGGATGCCAGAGCCTGGAGTGAACAATCACCTCTTCTGATGGATTCCATATGGGAGACCAGATATGTGGTTGCATTAGGTAGTGGGAACAGACCAGAAAAAAACCCCACAAAACATTGAACACACTTGATTGTGTGAGCGGATTCGAGTCTCTGCCCATCTCACAGTTATGAAATGGCTGTAGAAATCCTTCCCTCCTCTCCCTGCTGCACTTAGCTGGCTCTCGTGGCAGGGGGACATGCAGGGGCCGGGGCAGTCGGGTCCCTTTGTGCAGCTGCAGTGCCAACCAGCAGTGTCTGTGCTTTAACAACCTCCTCGCCCCGTGCCAGTGTGGGCTGAGCAAAGGCTGCCAGCGCTGAGCCAGTCCCCAGAGGCGGCAGCTGAGTGGTGTTTCTGGTGTCTCTCCTAGGTAATAGTCCATGATGTGAATGAGCTGACAGAAAAGCTGTTTCCAATTGTCGAAGCCATGCAGAAACACTTCAGCGCTGGATCAGGGACCTACTACAGCGACTCGATCTTCTTCTTGTCAGTTGCAATGCATCGCATCATGCCCAAAGGTAAGCCTCTGCTGAGCTGCCGCAGCAGCTGCCTCTGGCAACACAGGCTCTCTTTTCCTTCTGAACGGAGATGTTATCTAGTGCTATTTGAAATGCAAAGAAAGCTAACAAACTTTTGGGATGGGCTCCTGGGGTTCTGCTCCTTCCTGCAGAGTGACAGACCCTTCGGTCCAAGACAGCCCGCATCCAGGTCTCTGCTGGCGTGAGTGGCGGGAGGTTATCCGTGCCGCACGGCAGCTGGCCCTGGCCTCGTGCCCTGAGATGGTAGGAGAGGTGAGACAGGAGTAAGTGTGCTTGCCCTGTGCGTGTTTACAGCCCCCTTCCCCATGGGCTGTCAGCAGAAAGAGGTGCCGCATGTTTGTGGCACGGCTGCCTGGCTGTGCGCTAGCAAGCGTCAGCAGAGAGCGGTTGTTGAGCCTTTCCTCTTGGCTTCAGTGAGCTCTTGGAAAGCTTTTCTGATTAGCAGCCACTGATCACTTAAGTTTCCTTATTGTGCCTTTGCTCTGCTGTTACTGAGTGCGGGAACAACAATAAATCTGCAGGAAAACAAGGCAGCTGGCAAAGAGGGCTTGGCTGAGTTGATGCCATGTTTTCCTTCCCCGGCTGCGCACGGGTGCTTCTCGGGGGACCGGCATGCTCTAGCCTTCGACCGGTTGCACGAGGAGGGTGTGGCATCCCTGGGCTCTGAACCCCTTCCCTGGAGCTCTCCCAGCCCTGCCTGTCCCTTCCCGGTGCTGTCCCTTCCCGGTGCTGTCCCTGTGCTCTCCCTGCTGGCTGCCCCGCTGGCCTGATGCACCGGTGAGGGCAGCATCCTCTCCCAGGCCAGCCACTGGCCATGTGCCCTCCGTGTGCCACGGCAGGGTGTGGGTGGCAGTGGCGACAGGGAGCTCCGGGGTCCTGCCTGGCCGTACACCTGCCCCAGGAGGAGGTGACCAGCCTCTCGAAGCTGCCTGTGGATGGCACGTGGTTGTGGCCCGTTCCCACACGTGTGTGTCACTGAAATAGCTGTTCCCATGGCTAGCACCGCCGGCACCAGCAGCTGCCTCGGCATCTGGAGCCTCTGCCCAGCCATAATATTCCCTACAGACTTCCTACCATGGATCCCAGGCGCAGTCTTGCTCTTGCTGGGACGTGAGTGGGTGCGACTCCCCTGTGCCCCTGCTGAGTCCTCTGCCCAGTAGCTCCTGCCTCTGCACTGGTTCATGAGGCTTCCTCTGGACATGCCCCTCCCTGGGGGGCACAGCCATCCCATGTTAGCTCGTTAAGCGGTGGGACAGTGGTGTTTAATTTGTGCAGACAGGCATTAGGGAAGAGCAGGCAGGGAGATAGCCTGGGGCTGTGGGGCGAGATGGCCCCGAGGGTCCCATCCAACCCCCGCCGATCATTACTCTGTGGTCTCCAGCGAATGTGCTGTACTTTGCTCTCCATTGGACTTGGGTAATTTTTTTTTTTTGTCTCGTGATGTCTGCATTGCGAGTGCTTTGAAGTACGTTGAATACAAATGATGGTATTAATGCTGGCTAATTCACTCTTCAAGATTCCCTCCCCTGTCTTTACCATGTGCTAAAGATATCTGTGTCGTGCTGCCTGCCAGCAAGAAGCTGCTCAGTCTGAAATGCCTTTTCTCAGTTCGTCAACCCGCTGGTTGTCTCATCTCTTGGAATGCTTGTTTGCTCTCCCTCAGCCTGATGGGGCCTTCAGTGGTCTGTTCAGGGCACAGGATGTTTAAAGAGGCATTTTTACAGTTTCACGAGCTTAGTTTTTGTTTCAGAAGCTGCTAGTAAAGCTGATTTATATTTCCCTTGCAAGGGAGGTCAGATTTACTGTGCTGGGTGCCTGGTGATTTATGGGGCTGGCGGGGCTCCCCGGCCCCTTCCCTGCTTCCCGACGCGCAGCCGGCACCGAATGGGAGGCAGCAGGGAAGGCTGCAGCTCTGCTGCCCGCTTGCAGGCTTGCGGGTGGCGTGGGAATGGCACTGGGCTCCTGCCGCTCTCCTGGCTCTGACAAACCAGCCTCTACTGGTGTGAAGAAGCCACTGTGCTAAGGTGAAGGAGAAAGGACCGAACCTTCCTTTTCAGGCAGTATTAGCATTTTTCCTGGTGCATTTCTGGGCCATTTCATCTGCCCTGAATGTGCATCTTTTTGTGTAGCTTTGCAGGCATATGTGGCTCCATAGCGTTAGCACCATTTTTTTGTGGAAGCCAGATTTGATTGGAAGCTTAAGCATCCTCCAGCAGAAATGAAGGCCCTGATCTGAATATTAAACTCTCGTGTGTTTGTTTGCATTTGTGTTAATTGGTCTCTAGTTTTTTTCAATAGCTAGCGACCTTTGCATTAAAGTTACTTGGTTTTAGTTTCCCAAATTTACAGTTTTTTTTAAGGGAGGCATTTCCGTAGTATCATGACTTAGTGATTTGTTTGGAGCCTTGGGGTTGTGATGGGGCACTGACTTTACAGGCTGATGGCACTCAAAACTAAACACCAGGGTGGTGTTTTGTTTTTTTAAAAAAAGACTTGTGGAACACATGCTGGCTGCGTGCATGTTGCACTGAGAATAAATGGCTTTTGCCACTCAGCTGCTCTGTCTTTCACTGCTGCTTGGGATCCTTGCCCAAAAACTTCAGATCTAAAACCTGCAGCTGCCAAACTATAATATAACAGCTTCTTAGTTGGTGTAAATCATGGAACTCTCTTGCCTTAAATGTCTTACATCAGTGGAGGTAATCTGATTTAAACCAGCTGGGGACTTGGTATGCAGCGTGCAGAAGTGCAGACTGCATAACTCTTGTCTGTGCTTGAGGCTCATAAATCCTGTTTTAACGCGATGTGGCCAGGCCCAAGGAGCTGGAGGAGGGCTTGATGCATCGCAATGATTTTGCAAGGGAGAAGTGATGGGAAAGTTACACAGAGAGAGGACGAACAGGGTTCAGGCTTAGGAGGAGCTGCCAGGGTGAGGACAATGCCAGCATGAAACGGTCCTGGGACTTGCAGAGGAGTGCTAGGAGGGGAAGGGAGGACAAGGACTCGGACCTTTTTACTTTCCTTTTCAGTATGCCAATCCAGAGGTGGCCTCTCACTTCCCGACTGGCTTCGATCCCTCTAATTACTTGTCATTTTAGTCATGTAACTTCAGAGGACCCGACAAGCTTTTTATCACCCTCCTTACGGATACGTGAAGGAGTAATGTCTGGGCAGGTCTGCCTGGCAGGCAAGATCACGGGGCAGACTCCTGATGCCATGGGCGAGGGGAGGAGGAAATGGGGTGGCAGAGGGGCAGCCAGGGGAAGCGGTGGGCTCCCCCGGGAATTCTTGGCCCCCATCCTTGGCCCAAGTCAGGTGGTTTTCAGGGAGAATTAGTTTAGCGACTGCGTGTCCTCAGCAGCTGGTGGGCTGAGCGAGAGATGTCAGCATCCAGCAGCTTGGACAGAACTTTGAAAACTGCCGTTGGTGTTTGACTCCATTGGTTTTGCTGACTGTGCTGCAGCAGGATGACTGTGGGAGAAGAGAAGGAGCAGAGGGAAAATGGGACAGGATGGAGAAGTACCTTTGTGGCTTATCTCTGCCAACTCGGACAGAGGAGCGGAGTCCGTTAGCTCAAGGGAGTCTCTGAAACCTGGCTGGAGGTACCGTGCCTCGCATGGAGTGAGGGTATTTAGCAGAACTTGACTGAAGATGATATTTGACAAATTGGAGGCAGCAAGATTTCCTGGCCGGTAAGAACAGCTGGCAGTCTTCCTGGAGGGGTAGCATAATCTCTGAACATGGTCTCCTCCTCCCTGCCTGGCAGCGTGTGGGGGAGCTCTTGGGGTTTCTCTCCCACTGACCGACCCAGCGTGAAGGCAGAAACCCTGACGAAGGGTAGGAGATGAGCACAGGGTGCAAAGGGCCCCTGGGCTCTGCCGTGTGCGAGGTTAACCCTCGTGCAGCATGCCGCATCTTTCAGGCACTGGCGAAGCACTAACTCGTTAATCCTGGTACCGCTCTGGGTGGGCAGGGAGAGGAACGCGGCTCTGCTCCCCCGAAGCTGGCGGGATGCAGCTGAGCAGAGCCACGGCTGGGATGTCTGCCTGGAGAGGGAGTGCCAGTGAGGATGGGCCCCTTGCTTGTGCTAACGCGGCTCTGTGTCTTCACACGGGCGGTGGAGGGAAGAGTGCAGAGCAGGATGGCATGTGACTGCAACGTTTAATTCCACTAATGGGATCTCTTACAAGCACATCTATAAAATTAGGCTTGGAGATCTCCAGGAAAGCAGTTCAGCAAGATAGTTCCTTCTCGTGCCCAGCCTTTCTTCTCCTTTGATGCCTGCTGCATCCCAGAGATGACCCATGTGCCTGCAGAAGGCTCTGCGAGCAGACAGCGAGAGCCATCAGAAGGTGTCTAGCTAACAGCCAGGGAGAGAGGCAAATGCTGTTCAGCTCACCTTCTGCCTTTTTTAAATACTTTGAAAGCATGGGACTGAGAAGGGGAAGAGAGCCAATTCCCTGTCTGGCTTATAGCAGTGTTAGGAACTGGGGTAAGAAAGTGGATGTGTCAGAAAATATTTGGGAGAAAATATTTGGTGAGGAAATACTTGACGTAGTTATCACTATTGAAATCGGTAGGGTGAGATGCGACGAAATTATTAAGGCCAGTGGTTGCAGTGCTTATGAGAGGCGATGGAAAGAGAAGTAGGAGCTGGGCAGTACTCTACGGTGAAGACGCACCTGGGGACTTGCTGACTGAAAACTCAGGAGCTTGGTCTGCAGGTACATTTGATAAGGTTGTTCGTCAGGGGCTCATAAGGGAACTAAGCAGCACTGGGAGAAGTCGGTGAGTTTCTGTGTGACTAAACAAAGATGAGGAGCTATGAGGAAGGAGAACAGAGCGGGACTGATCATTATGTATTGCTGAAATTTATGGCATATCAACATGGTCTGTTGGGGAAAAACCTGGAAGAGGTTCAGAGAAGAGCAGTGGCTTCTGTACGGGATGAACCTGGCTGACTGGGACCCTCCAGTCTG